AACGATACTAAACAGGATAGGGTCATTCGGGGGAACACGGTAGTTGTCGCGGTCAAATTATGGGCTAATCTGAAGAAAACGCGCCAACTTTTGACAAGGGTGCCCTCCGGAATAAGCCTATAAATAGAATTCTTGACTTTTTTCTAATGAAACTTCAAGCGTTATCGATTCTTTAGATATTCAGGTACCCAAAATTGGAGAAAGTTAAAAATCGATTTTTTGACTCAAAATCGGGTTTTCCAGACCCGTGACATGCCTTAATTGAGTGTTGGGAGAGTCGTCACTGCCGGATTGATCCGTGAGAGTAGGCTGGAGGGCTGCTGTACCTGTCTTCAACAAGCGGCGTGAATGTTTCATTTCTCGACCAACTATTCCTACATTTATAATTTTTACAGTGTTTTCTTTCTATCTTTTCAGAAGTGCTATTACTACACGACATATCATCTACTCGTATCATCTCAAGTATTACTACACGACATATCATCTACTCGTATCATCTCAAGTTCAAACTGCCCTTGCACAAGCATGAAGAATGAAAATTGGTCGCTGGGGCAACGTTTCATTTTCCCTCCAGTTCTACCAGAGCTTTGTGCTTGGCACTGTTGTGTTGGCAACTGTGGCCGCCGTGACCAACTACTTGAGTCAGACCTGGAAGACTCCCATCAGCCACATCCGTGTGGACAAATACCGCAGACAGAAGTGCCACGTGCAGGCTCACCTCCGACTGAAGAGCCTCAGGGATCAGGGTTCAGATGGCGATGTCTCTGAAGATGAAGGGCGTTGCAGAGTGTTCCCCATGCTGCACCAGTCCAACTATAGCTCACCGGCGGAGGCTGCGAAGACATCATGCCGCAGAGTCCAGCCAGTCCCCGGCTCTTGCCACGTGGCACAGGAAGTCTTTTTCTCCCAGCCACCTCCTTCCTGTTCCCATCAGGAGCACATCAAGTTCTGTCAAGTGGAGGTATGGAGGTATTGTAGTGTGAAGGTATTGTGGTGTGGAGGTATTGTAGTGTGGAGGTATTGTGGTGTTCTGTCAAGTGGAGGTATTGTAGTGTGAAGGTATTGTGGTGTGGAGGTATTTGTAGTGTGGAGGTATTGTAGTGTTCTATCAAGTGGAGGTATTGTAGTGTGGAGGTATTGTAGTGTGGATTTATTGTAGTGTTCTGTCAAGTGGAGGTATTGTAGTGTTCTGTCAAGTGGAGGTATTGTAGTGTGGAGGTATTGTAGTGTTCTGTCAAGTGGAGGTATTGTAGTGTGGAGGTATTAGTGTTCTGTCAAGTGGAGGTATTGTAGTGTGGAGGTATTGTAGAGTGGAGGTA